AAAATACAATCAAATTTGTGCTTAAATTTCTCGAAACCGCCAAATATAACAAAATCAAGATTAAGCAGTTTACCCGATATGAACCTGATAGCCTCTACACCGATTAAGACAGTACCAACAACAACAACAACAACAACAAAAAGCTTACTAACGAAGATGTTTTTGAAAGTCCAAACAGCTATTTCTCGACATCTGTTCGAAGTCAATTGCAAACACTGGAAGGCGAAGAAACGGTACGTAATCATCTAGGTCCACTGAGTCGACAATACATCGCACCTGTATTACGCGGCGACGTAGTCGTTGATATGGATTACGTGTACGGTGTTTATTTCACCAATGATGGACTGATGCTCGATAATAAACATATTGACATGGACAATGCGGATAACATAATTATCGATGGCATACGATATTCGGGGACACCTTTATGAACTGATATTCATGAAAACTCCAGATAACATTTACACTGAGGCTGATGAACGGAAATTCAGGGACATACTGCTGAAAACGAGTGCGCATAAGCACAAGCACAATTCGTATTGTTAAACATTAGGCAACAGAGGATACAAGTATAACCATATAATCAAACCTTTATTGCAAGATAAAAAAGTTGGAAAAGGCATACCGTGTTCCATGAGATTAACCAAAAACAACATTGATTACGTTCACTGGAACGATACCAACGAACTCGTAGATCGGCTTCGATTGCTCGAGGCTTTGCGTCAAGCCGGTCACAATGCTCACGACAACGAGATGCTATCGATTATCGAGGAACTTTGGGAGGCAGAATTCATTATAAATTAAGCTCCACCTTGGCGATACTGTCAATCGTCATTAAAATGTCAATCAACAAGTTTGGGTCATCGATTGGAAGAATGGAATCATACTATCACTGGAATGGAGTAGTCAGAAATTATGTACCCGACAACGCTCTTTGTGTTGTTGGCACCAATTATGACGCAAAGTCGCGCAGCATTCGACGGGTAGCACCGCCTGTAGAGGATGACAAAGCTATCAACAAGCTGTACTTGCACGAAAACATGGCAGTTATAAAAAGTTGACAAGACGTATTCGACAAAAAGATGATTATGTTTCAAAATTTCGTTCAGAGCTTGAAAGATGAGCTGAATAAATTAGAGAACCGAATTCCGAAATCTAATGCAGACGCATCAATAGCTGGACCTTGAAACTATTTACCGACCGACAGACCGGTCAACCGACCGACATACCGGTCAACAGACCGGTCAACCGACCGACCGTTGCGTTGAGCACCGATTTGATGTTTGATAAGACGTGTACGTCAAGTCTTTGCGTCAGTGTCGAGTCATACATGGCTGCGAAGAAAACTCCCAGTACCGATAAACGGTGTCTCGTGGTAGAATTGCATGCTCCGGCGAGAAGAAATTTTCCCCGAATACGCGTCATAGTACATGGGTACGACGACTTAAGGCAAGCGGACGAGGTCGAGATGCGACCATACGCGCGGTATAACAGAGGCTTCCATTAGACACTCACTGTTATCGATGTGTTGAGCAAGCATGCATGGGCTATACCCCTTAAAACCAAGAGTGGAAATGAAGTTTCTACAGCGATCGGAAAGATAATCCGAAACAGTGGAAGGTATTCGAAAAATTTGCAAACCGACAAAGGAAAGGAATTTTACAACGCAAATGTGCAAAAACTTTTGTCAAAATACAACATAAATCACTATTCAACGTATTCAGTGATGAAAGCGTCAGTCGTCGAGCGGTTCAATCGTACGCTTAAAAACGACATGTGGAAACTGTTTACGCTTAATGGAAATTATAAATGGATCGACTCGCTGCAGCAACTCGTATCAAATTACAACCCGCGTAAGCATCGAACTATCGGCATGCGACCAATTAACGTTACACCAACAAACGCCTCGAAGCTCTTAACAACGGTATATAATCACGTAAAGATTGCCGCTCCCGCACGATTCAGAGTGGGAGATGCGGTACGTGTGAGCAAATTCAAAACAATTTTTGAAAAAGATTACACACCTTTGGGGTACTAAAATATTTACGATCGCCGAGGTTCAGAAAACTAATCCCGCAACGTATCTGCTGAAAGATGTTTATGGAAAACCATTTGCTGGAGGATTCTACGAACACGAGTTGCAACGCGTTGCCGACACTGATGTATACCTTGTGGAAAAAGTGTTACATCGGAAAGGGAATAAGGTGTACGTGAAATGGTTAGGATTGAATAGTGCACACAATTCATGGATAAATAAAGATAATGTATTGTAAAAAATTAACAGTTTTTTAAATTAAATATTCAGTTTTATACATGTACTAGCATTATTAGTTACATTACAGTGTTTTTATTTACAACTAAATATATACATCTATTAAAATCGAGGTAGAAATGATTTACAAAATACATATACTGATATATCTAAAGCGGTATTTTATAATGACCCCTCGGCAATGTATCCGTTGAGTCGGGTACGATATACCGCTTATCGTCGTACGGACTCAGAGCGATTTTTGATTCCGCCATTGTGTATACTTTGTGTAATTTTGATCTTATACATGTCTGATTACGAATCATTTCAATTTCGTTTCGTAGGCACTGCGTGTAGTCGTCGAATGTTATCATTCTGGAAACAACGTAACTTTTTACACCTTTCGCCTTTCTCGTATCTTTTTTACCATCTACACGCAGTGCATACATTTTCGCTCTGAGTCCAACAAATTCTGTCATTATTGCCCCATTGTTTTCGTCTTTCATCAAACCGGGGACTTTTTTGTTTACAAGCGGTATATCGTAAACGTTCCCTACCGGATAATCGTTGGTATCAAATCGATTAATATCGCGTTTTATAGTATCATAAATATTCTCGCACTCGATGTGGTAAATTAAACTATCCGTATCGGTGTACTTAACTTTACATTTATCGCCATGTGTGGATAACATGTAATCTTGATGGAATTCATACAAACAAACCTTAGATATATCTAGTATACACATACCCACATACACTGACGGACAAAATTAAACACTTTTTTAAAACGTCATATCTATGGGAGTTTTCAACCGATTTTGAAGAAACTTCGCGAGGAGTAGTTTTGAAGTGTCCTCTAAATGTGCGCAAAGTTGCATTGGCGAGGGTTGACAGGAAGGGGTTAAGTCACCCCCGTAAAGAGGGGCACGTCAAAAAACGCCACTTTTGAAGAGGCCAGCGTTAAATTGGAATCTGGTCTGGTCTGACCACGTACGGCTGTAGGCCCTCGCTCCACTTCTGCATGCCGGCTCCGTCCGGCCCACTTAATACTCTTTCAAATCTACTCCGATTTGACAATGAAAGCGTGATTCAAAATATCTGAATTTTTGGGAACCTGTTAATAAAGCATTCGCGCGTCCGTTTCTACGAACGGCGTTGACGTGGAGTTACTCATTCACCTGGTACACAGGCCTAAACTCGCGGGTGGGTTTTCCAAAAAAAACGTCATTTTCGTATTTTACTGCTATTCACGCGGGGAAAAGACATCAAAACTGTGTCACTCCAATGCTTTGGACCGTATCACATGTGTTCAACGCAACGAAACATCGTTCCAACCCCTACACCTGTGGGTGGACCACCCCTAACTCTGGGCCACCCTGTTCAGTTCCAGGGGCAGTTTTCGAAACGAGCTTTAAATGACATTGATCCTTAATGTATCGAGAATAAACTTGGTGAATTTCTCCGCCCTTCGAGGTGTGGAAGTGCTCCCTTACGAAGGGTGTTGAAAAGTGGCGAACTGTTCCATCCTTCCAAGGGGTGCCTATGGGGCGCACGGCGTGGGCGTTGGCATTTCCTGGATCAGGAGATTCCAGGGAATGCATGGAGCCCAAATTCGAGACTGAAGTCCAAAAATTATGGATTTTGTAGGGGGTGGGGTGTTGTGAGGGGTGGGTTTGCCCGAGAGGGATTTTGAGGGTGCGTTTTGTTGAGGGCATCGAGGAGGGTCGCCCCAAAGGTTTTTTTGATTTTTTCAACCCCTTCCGTCACCCCTGACCTCTTCAGAAGTGGCGTTTTTTGACGTGCCCCTCTTTACGGGGGTGACTTAACCCCTTCCTGTCAACCCTTACCAATGCAACTTTGCGCACATTTAGAGGACACTTCAAAACTACTCGCGAAGTTTCTCCAAAATCGGTTGAAAACTCCCATAGATATGACGTTTTAAAAAAGTGTCCCTTTAATTTTGTCCGACAGTGTAGATTGGTTTGTTGAACTTCACCGCAAGCTTTCGCAGTTCGATGGCAACTAAGTTTTCCGAAAACACGCTACGGCTGTGAAAATTTGGTTTTACGCTCATTGTCTCCGCACCATATCTCCCTTCCCATTTTGTTACTAATTTTACATCGACGTGATTGCGTACATTCTCCATAGTTGTGCCAAATACCGCATTGTTCATCAATTTATACAAATTCTTTTCAAAATCGTTTGTAGCGAGAGTTCTAAACTTTGTATTTAATTCAATGTAATCGCAGAGCCAGGGTGATTGTGCGAATTGGAGGATGCGGTGTATTTTTATAATACGAATACCATGTCGCGTGCATTGCTGCAGGTTACGATAGTAGATAACGTAGCGCTGCTTATCGTATAGAATTGCGAGCAGCTTGTCCTCTCTTTTGCCAGGTGGTTTGGCACGTGTGGGACAGAACGGCAGTGCCGCGTAAATGTCGTGTAAACCTCTAGAATATAACCCGTGGGCGAATCGGCAGCAATCGAAGACATGTCTCGGTTTGCGACGTTATCGACCCATCGAAATTCTGCATACGGCAATGGTTGACACATTGCCCACCCATACAGATTATTCACATCAAAGTACATCAAGTACAACGATGTACAACGAAGTACTTATTATTGGCTTTCACGTATCTACCTGAACACTGATTTAATCCGCCGTGTATACCGCGTTCGATAAACAGGACCATGTCGATATCTGTTAGTAATTTGAAATTAACTTTTGTATGCTTCAGCATGACCTCCCACGTAAAACCGGGCAGAGTGTAATAATACGCGGGATCGAGTCTGTAACTTGCGATACAGCTTTCACGAAAATTTTTAAAAATATCGGTCAACAGGAAGACATCTGTTTTCAAATACAAATCGCTATACTCGCCCAGCGTTTGAATGGAAAACCGTATCCACACGTTCTCGGCGTGCGTGTACTCGCTCTCCGATACTATATCACCCGTCAAGGAACTGTAAAATGATTCGCGCGATGGCAAACATGATTGCTCCAACTTTTCGGCACAGTCAATGTACTCGTACGGAAAAACACCCTTTCGCGTCAATAATTCGAAATCTTCGGTAGACAAATTTTGAAACTCGGTTCGTAAAATTCTTAATTTGCTTTTATGTAAAAAAGACACTAAGTTATCGAAACTGGTACTCAAGAATTTGTATGAATCGATTAATCTCAATTTTATACAATTTGGCGACGGTCCATTTGGATCTTCGACACTTTTTGTGAACGAGATGTACTTTTCTTTTTTTATCGGCAATACATTGACGGCACCCTCGAAAGCTGTAGCTATTTCTTCGATAATAAAATGCGAATCGTAACCGGACAAATTATGAAAAACTATGGGAATCCAAAAAGAGTTCATCCATTTGTATGTTATTTGATAAAATTGATTTAACGGTGACATTGGTACACCGACAAGGACGAATCGTACGCGCATTGAACATAATATGCAATACTAAATACTTTATGATGCTGGTATGTGGATCTTGGTGCTTCTCGATCAGTTTTCTCCAGAATGCACTCAAGGTCGGCGTACACCACAAATGGAAGTTGCTCTTTCCGGATGTAGTTGTTGAAGCTGAGCCACTTGCTTTCATCATCTGGTAATACGATTGCGCATTCGTTCATCTTCTCGCAATCTACGGTGTGAACTTCCAGCTTCTCACTCGAACTAAAGTAGTGCAAGCATCTGCAATAGAAAGACATAAATTTTTTTCAAACATAACATATTTAAAAAAAGAAAAAAGAATTATTATATCCATACCTATCGTAAAAGTATTTTCGATGATTCTTTTTACTCAATTGTGAGCTCACGAGGCGAAACAAGTTTTTGATCCACGCGAAATGTCCCACGCCGTTTGCTCCTTCTAAATACAGTAAATTGACATGTCTCTTCATCTTCCGTGTGGCGAGCCGTATCGGTAGAACCTTCTTTTCTTCAGTGGTGTAGACGTTGATGGAGATGCTGTTGGCGTGTTCAAACTTTTTAATTTGATTCAATGGCATTGGAAATTGGATATCCTGGATATTCAACACCGTTGAATAATGAGGATATACCGATGCCCGACATGCGTTCCTTTCGGCTGGATGCAGAGCAGCCACTACTGACCACGCGAAACATGCATTGTCGTTCGAGCATACGTTGATTACAGCTCTCTTTAGTTGTATTTCTCGCGGTAAGTGTATGGTACATCCAGCATGCAGCGGCATATATTTATTGACGTTAACAATTATGTTACACCCGGGCCTGCCGGTGTCCCTTTTCATCGACCTCGTATTGCGAATAGTTAAGATCAATAGACTTATAGGAATGCGCACGAACCACAATTCGGAAATCGTGTTATTAAACCGAGTCGCATGAACCGCAAGTCAGCAAACAAGCGTTAGCGATATTAGGCTCTTGCGCACGAATCGCCCATTGAATTTGGGACTTGCTCCAGATTCGGGAAATGTGGCAATTAAGATTCCGAAATTACGAATTGCGCCAGGCAAGGATCTGGGGCTATATAAACCCGTGGTCACGATCACGGATGGCTCTTTGTGTATTATTATTTTGGCAGTTATTATTCTGTAGTCGCGGACAGGTTAATCTCTCGCGTTAGTCTTATTTAGGTATCGTGTATCGTATCTCCAGCTGAGTAAAAAGTTCGCGTAAGTGAGAACATACGCACTAAAGATAGAGTCACCGCGGAGTTACCTACGAAAGTCCGACGTTTATTATTCGCCAATTATTAGAGTCCCGTGTCGCGAGTGTACAACCTACCAGATCCTCGCCACAGCCGAGCCCGGGACAACTTGACAACGCCGCCAATAGCATAAGATCAACGATTGGTATTGTTAAAACCATCTTCAATTGTATAATTTATATTCTTGTTTGTATGTAATCCCAAACTCAGTTTTGTTTCATAATTATATTTGTTAATACTTAAACTTAGTGACAATCATTATAGAATCCCAGAATTCCTTCTTTTCCAATTAAATACAGATAAACTAATTGGGACGTAACAATTACATTGAGTATACGCGACAGCGCCCTTCCGCTATCCCGTTCTTGAAATTCTTCCAGCGATGCTAGGGTGGGTTTGACGACGCGTTGCTCGTACCACTTTTCGAGATTGATCTCGCCAAAGATTTCACAGTTCTTCGTGCTGATAGTCTTGTTCGAGCGTTTATCACCCGCTACAAACTCTCCATTAAACGCGGTATTCACTTTTAGTGTCATGTTTCATCAATGCACTTCGTATATGCTCGAACACGACGTCTCTTGCATCCTGAAGAAAGTTACGCGGTTCGATGTAGTGTGAATTTAAAACAGCGTCGGTTAATACGCGGCTCTCGAACGCAGTGTCTGTTTCACGCCACAAGAGTCCAGTGCTTGAATGGCCGGCACCTTCGTACACGAAACGTCTGCGCAACGAATACTTTAAGTAGGTAAGGTATGCCGGTTCTGGAACAGCGGAATCTCAGGGGGGTGCGGGGACGGGGGAAGCGAGGGGCGGGGTCTTGTGGGTGGGGTGGGGGGCTTGTGGGCAGGGGAAGCGAGGGGCGGGGCCTCGTGGGTGGGGGAGTATGACGTCACTTTTGATTGACCACCCCCTTCAAGGCGCCATTCTGTTTTTTAATTGGCTGCCTCCCACCTCTTCGTGTTTTTTAATTGGCTGCCCTCTTCGTGTTTTTTAATTAGTTAATAAGGCCCCACCTCCGCTCACTTTTGATTGAACACCTTTTCGAGGCGCCACTTAATCGGCTGCCCACGCCCCTTTAAAGTGCGCTAATGGATCTATTTCAAAGCCACGTGCAAAGATTCGCAAAGTTTCGCGAGTCGAGGACAAATTTAAAAACTGCAAGCTAAACGTTCTGTTTTACCATCTTAATGTCATACGTGATGAAATGGATTCTTTCAAATGTATTATTCCCGGAAGATTAGATCATCAAAGATCCATACCGACTCACGATCGAACCATGGATACAGGATACTCTATTTCAAGGGGATACGTGAAGGAATGCGCTTTTTCCCGGTGGAATATTCGAGACACCGATATGTTGTCTCAGGTACAAAGTCAAAAATTGCAAGCTAAACGTTCTATCTCAGCATCTGCCGCCAGTGATTCGCGCTTGTGAAAAAAGAAATAATATTCAATTGTAAATACATCATTTTATCTGATCACCATGCTGAATTACATTCAACCCTAAGGCTAACAATTCAGAATCAATCAATGAATGACTTTCAAAATTTTCATCTTCGATAATTGCTCTAACAATATCATTTGGTTTTACATTATGTATTAATTTTACAAAAGTTTCATATTTGCGCTCGACGAGAAACGTATTTTCGGAAAGTCACGTGTACATATAATTAATACAGTATTCGAAATCAAACATTCTACAAATCGTTTTTTCTGTGAGGAACAAGGCGTTGACGGAGGTGGAGAGTCTCGCGATTTTAACATCGTCCACGCAGCGAAACTCAATCGTTATATCGCAAACACGTATTGGATCACTAAACGTCGTTTCAAAGTTCCGTAAAATGTCCATCTTTCTCTCCGATAGCTTTTTCCAGGTAAACATTGGAAACTGGATTTCATTGCCGCGGTTATCTCCAATAGCCAATTCCACATCACAGCGACGACCAATTCTTATTCCAATATCTAAATACTTGTGTACCAGGTAGTCGGCAAAGGATATCTCCGTCCCAAAATACGTACTCCGCGGCTCGACTTCAATTCGGGCGAATCATTGATTTCAATGTGTAAATGAAAAGAATATGAAAAGAATGATGCATATTTTTGCTACGTTTTACATCGAGGAAACGAACATCTTACTATGTACGCATTTTCTTGGAAACTGGCCGCAATGTGTAATTATCATCTAAAAATTTCTCCCCCGTTCCTCGAGCAACTTCAGCAGCAGTCCACATCGCTGACGTTTAAATTGGTCAAAATCTAACAATCTTCTAACCGCTGTATCGCAAATTTCCGTTTTATATCGAATCCACTCCCCTCCATCACCTCTTATCATGTAAGGAATTTATTGATCATGCAGCATTTCTTTTTTCTGTTCCATGACGTCATGTTTATTTCATATTTCAAAAATAGTTTGCATTTCTACATCAAATAGCGTATATATTTTGAACACATTTTCCATGGCACAAACGCCATCGTGAAACGTACATCTGTAATGTCCTTCACTCATTGTAGACAATTTCGGTATTTCTCTGTCTTCTAAATCTGTTTCAACATCGAAGGCTTCCATTCCAGTTACATTGTATAACGATCTCTCCTTTTCCGATCCTTTAACTAAAATTCTGTCAGCGCATTCCAACGCGGTTCGTAACAGGCTGCTCGCCTTCACGTAGGGTACGTAACCATCCGTCCATCTGATTCCATGGTGTTTTTTCGTTAACCACCAAACACCACGTTTTTCGTTAGACGTTAGACGATGCAATCCAAATGGAGGTTCAAATATCCAATGTGATAACTTTTTTGCTTGCGCGAGGACAGCCACCTCTTTTACGATAAAATCATTTGAGTCCGTTTTGAAACCTTGCAAGTCTACGAACGTTAGGTGAGCCATTTTGCTGTATCGACAGTTTCGAAGAAACTGAACATTCAGTAGAGATTTTTAATGTATTAGTTTATTCTGCGTACTACATTCGTCAGAGGGCTGTACTCGATTATGCGATCGTGTATAATCAAGCAGTAAGCAGTTGTATTGAGCGGCACGTTATCTTTGCATTCGAAATCTATCTTAACATCAGTCGTGGCACTCTTTAGAGACTCTCAGTCGTTCTGACGCGAGCAATCTATGACTGCAAACGGACCACATGATAAAAACTCTAACATATCGAGCAGGGGTTCACCGTGTCTGTAATATGATTTTCGAAAGTTTGCGTACATATCGTAAAGTATCGCATACTTGTTCTTATCAAAATCCAGATTCAAGTCATCGTATGGATAAGATTTTGAATTTAAATGTAGTCGTATGTTTGATAGTTTACAATTGACAAAGTGATTCAATGTTTTGTCCAATTTGTTCTTTCGATCGGTTTGCATAGCGAATATCACATATCGCGATTTCTCCAATTGTGTTGCAGTTTTCACAGACCAAGTATGCTGCGTGGTTGTTTGTAATAACGGATATTCATACAGATCCCAGGAGCGGAGACTCATCGAAATCAGTCGACCACTTTCAAGAATACGTAAGAGTACCAATTTGTTCAATTCATCCAAACCGACGTGAAGCATTCGCCATTGAACTTTAAACAATTTGAGTACAGGTTTTAAAACGGTAGGACCAATCAGGGCGTTTTCATCGTTTCGCGATCGAATTAAAATCAATTCATGGCGCGCATTGATTACGATGCGTGTGTAATCTTCACAGAATCCGAATAACATACCAAGCGGGCACGCAAAAATTAAAATCTGCAGTTGCAGCATTTTTCTTATGATACCAGCCAGCATTACCTAACGTTTTACTTTTTTCAATGGACACAGATACATAATTATTTAACGCAGTCGTTACTCCCGGATTTTTGCAACGATCTATTTCAAACCTATCCATTTCATATCGAATTTCATCAAACAGAGAGGCAGCACAGTTGTTATCAAGAACAACATCTTCCTTCACTTCCTCCGGCTTTTTCTCCAGTAGACTCAGTTTTCCATCGATGTATAAGTGACTCTCAGACGGTAGCGTGTACAGATCCTGCTGCTGTATCGGAGGCACTCTGGGTGAAAACTCGTGTATCGGGTGACAGGTCTGTCATTACTGTAAGAACCCGTAGTTACCTTACACTCTATACGAATCATGTTAACGTTTGTAATGTTTACAGGTGAGTCCGACTCGTGCCGTACATCGGACGATAAAACACGGTTCCGGGAAAATCCAAGCAGAGATCCCACATTGTTTGGTTTCGTAAAATCGATTCTATACGACCAATGTATCTCGTTCTTCATAGTGTTGTTGTTTGCTCGCACGATGAGCGGGTATTGATCGTACGAATTATTCTTAGAGGGATATTTTCTCAATATTTCACGTCTCAAGTATTCATCGATCGCTTCCAATTCGTACGATCTTTCAGGAATCACATTTCTTCATCATCTTCTCCAAAATAAAGTTTATTGTTGCTCGAATCAACGTTGGGTATCGTGTGAAACGTCGCGAAACCCATGAGACCTAGTTCATACTGTCCATCACTCAAATCTATCGCTGGAAAGTAAGTCACCGAGAGCACGCTGCTTTTACCCGTCAAGGTAAACGTTAGAGACATCCTCGTTTAGTAAAGATGAAATTAATAATGGGGCGCACCTATCAGAAATCACAAGTTTATATCGAGGTTTTCTGAAGAAACTTGAAACACAATTGACCGCATATGCTTTGATTGAAATTCTGGAACCGAGTATGATTGTATACAGTTTTTACATTCCGCCCAAAGTAATCAATCAGTTCTCGAGGTGGACGAAGATTCCCGAAACTGTCAAAGTATCGCACCTTGCTACCGCGTTTCACGTATACAACCCAATGTGTACCAGGCCCATCGTTGCTATCCAAGTTAACTATACCGCTTTCATTGACTCTAATTTTTTTGTTTTTTTTTTCTCGTAGATCGAAATTTTTTTTTCTTTTTCAAACCTCCCCCCTGCTTGTACGGTGCGAGATGTACTTCGCGACCTTCCATAGCACGATTATGACGTTGCAATTCCTCCAGCTGTTTCCGCGCAGGCTTGGCATTGTTTACAGCCTTAGCTACGCCTGCCGCTCCACCGGTCAGCGCTCCTATGGCTAATAAGGCGGGAAGGAGGAACGGGAGGAAACCACCACGCTTTGCTACGGGTAATACTCGTTTCTTTTTCTTCTTCTTCTCGTTATCGCTCTTCTTTCCCTCAAATCCCATACCGAGTTTCGTCTAAGCTTTCATGGCCGTCCACACCGTCGCTGCTGCTACTTTTTCACCAAAAGTCGCGCCCTTTGCTGCGATGCGTTGTCGCGCTTGATCGGCTAAAATTCGATCTGCCTCGTGACGGTCTTCCAAATCTTTACGTTCGAAATACGCGAGGTCGTGTTCCCTGCAGGCTGCGTCCAGCGGATTGATACCACGATCACCGCGAGCTAAACGTTTTTGCAAATATGTACCCGGCCCACAAGATTGATATCCTGGTATATGAAGTTCGAACGGTAATTTGTTTATCACCTTGTTCAATAGTCCTGCTCCCCTCCTTTTATGCATAGAAAACAGTCTTTGATCATGGGCGGTGGTCCGTTAATGTGCGTACGCTGATCCGGCCGATTGTAATGTAAGAAGCACCTGTGAAAAGAGTGAACCTCAGGATCGGCTCTGATATGTCTCGGTAACTTGTCCCACACGTAATG